AACAAAGAAACCAGGCCATGTTTGGAGAACAGATTTTAAAAAGAACCTAGAAGAGCTCTTAAAAGTCGTGTTTTATCGTGTTAATACTCAACTTATTGCATAAAATGTATCTGATTTATGGTGTAAGGTGTAAGAACTGGTGTGCCAGGTCAGACACACAGTGTGTCTAGAGCAATAGCTGCTGTGAACAGCAAATGCCTAAGGAAGAGGAGTGTGAATGCTCTTCCCAGCATTATCTCTTGGCCCCTCTAACTTTGCCACTGAAAGACTTCCTGAGTAGCTTCATCTACCTCTAACAACAATAATTTGCTATTTCAATTAATAAAAAATTTAAGTCAATGAAGAGAACTAGCATGAGATCCTGGGTCCAGAGCACTAGGCAGGCCAATTCAGACATGAAGAATTACACATGTCAAGGCTATAAACATTTTAGAAATTGTTACTGGAGCTCAAACAAAATTTTGTGCCTTGCTCAATTCCCTACATCACATTATAAACATTTCACAACAGCTGGTCCTTCTTGTACACAAAAACTATGAATCCATTAGTATGTCCCTGCAGTATTTCTGCAGCTCTGATTTGTTCTGTTTAGAACCACAGTTGTCTGCAATAACATTCTCTTTTTTTTTTTTCCCTAACAGTTGTAATGGTAGAAAACTGTACAGATACAATTCCTGATGACAGTCACTTAAGCCTGTAAATGTGTGTACCCCTATGTGGTACTGAAGTTTGTAGCTTAGCCAGTAAACCTCTCCAGCATTAGAATTACCATTGAAGGAGAAAACTTCTGCACTTTAAGGATACCTGACTGCAACATTGCACTTGATTCAGGCACTGCTATTCCAGGCTCTGGTGTCTAATTCCAGGATGGGTTATTGGAAAGAAAGCAGAAAGTTAAGGAAAATAACAAACTTCTTTATATCCAACTTGACTTCACTGTGCCTTGTGTCTTTCTTTATCTGTTACACTGAAATTGTTAAAAATACTGGCACTGAAAGCTCCTATGACAAAATACATGATGATAAAACCCTTTGGTGAGATGCACATACATTACTGCTCTTAATATAGCTACTTCTGTTGGAAATATTTACTGCTAAGAAAGAAAAAGAAAATTTAGATTGAACAGTAATAGTTTTAATAACAACCCACCACATGCTCTAATCACTGAAATCTTTGGTGTACTCATAAGTCTTCATATGTAAGAGCCTTAATTGCTCAGAGAAATATTGCTGGCATATTACTCATTTTATGATTATTGATGGCTGTTTATGCACAGTTGCTGCTTTGGCAGACTATATATCTTATTTGATTAGTATCTTTATTGTGCTAATTGTATATAAATAAAAATATGTCTCAAAGATACATGCTGTGACATAATTATTTCAATACAGTATATTCATATTAGTTTAAACAGCAAGTTTCTGATGAACAGAGAACATAAAACCACAAATTCCCTCAATATCTTGAAAACTCCTTTTGTAGACAATAGTTATTAGGTAACAGAGCCGGAATCAACAAAGTAATTAATTTTTATTGTAAATGAAATTAATATAATTTAGCTTTGTTTGTTGAATGGATCCTGAAAGAGGACAAATGGAAGTATGTTGGGAAAAGTTACTGGGGGTGTTTTGCTACTGATTTCAGTATGACTAGGCCTTCACTCTATTTTTAGTATTCCCATTACTGATTTATTTATATGTGACAGTGAAGGGAACCTTAAGTACACTGCAGTATCTAATTTGTGTAAAATACTAACAACAGTATTAAAAAATAATATTTTTCCCCAATATCTAGATCACACTTACATGCACAAGAAGTAAAATAATCCAAATTTACACTCATGTAATATGTGCATATGACATGTGCTGATCACTGGAAGAATTTCAAGTTTTTCTGTCTCTTCATAGCCATTGCAAGACTCAAGACAGACACAAGAAGGTTATGTAATCCTTGCTTGAGAACACAATTCCCTCTCATTCATTGCTATATGTTGTGGTTTAGGGATGATACTCCCCAATTTACTGCTCCCCACTGAGAGTCTCCAAACCATGCACTGCTTGCTTGCTTCTCCCCCTCCCACTGCCTCCCCTTGCAGCTGGAGAGGAGAATTGGAGGCAAAAAGGTGAAGATCATGGGTTGGGATAAGAACAATTTACTGGAAACAGCAGTAAGGGAAGAAAGCAAACAGTAATAGGAACAACACTGATGACACAGGGCACAGGACAGAGGGGAACCATTCACGTGTGACTGCAGGAACTGGCGTTACCAGACTGCTCTGCTGCTCCTACATGACCAGAGGGACCCCCTCCTGCCCAGAGGACACCCCCTTCCCTCTGCCCCCAGACCCAGCAATGATGTGAGCTGGTACAGAATAACCTCCAGGTCCTCTATTGGCTACTGAAAAAATTAACCCAATCCTGGCTGGAACCAGGACACTCTGGTCTTCATGCCTTTTCCTTCTTATCTGGTTATAAATTTGTTCTGTTATAGACAGTCACACTTCTTGTTCTTGCTTTTCCAGACAATCATCACCAGCCTGGTCTGTAAGTGCATTTTGCCTCATCTTCCACACTCTTCCTAGGTACTGATTTATAAGAATTTTTAAAATTCTGTTGGGAAAGATTCCATAATTTTGCACATTACATTTTCATGCCTCAAGTTTCTCTGTAAGAACACTTGGAAGTGTGTACCATTAGTACTGATCTTGTCTACAGCTTTTCCTGAAAAAGGGATGATGCTTATATTTTCATATTAAAAGAGTAGTATTCCCACACAAGAATTCAAATTCTCTTGGGAGTTTGGTTAGAATAACAAGTACATTTCACATGAACCTATATAGTGACAATATTTTACTTGCATTTTTTATGAATAGCATGTAAAGCTTACAATTTAAGTACTCACTTTCATTTACCTCTCTCTTTCCCAGTTCCTTCCTCACTTCCTCAATCATGATGCCAAGTCATCACTCTTTTCAGTTATGTTTTCAGCCTCTCTATTCAAGCCATTTCCTCAGTGTAAAAGCAGAGATTTGTCTGATTCATGGCAGCTTCCCAGAAGATTCTACTGTGTAATTCTCTAAATAAGCCAAAGACTGCTCTCCCAAAGTCCTAAGTCTCACCGTCTACCATCACAACCTTCCTCTGAACACTGAACTCAGTCACTACAATGAAATTTGCCATTCATGGAAATGGCTTTCACCAATTCTTGAGCAGCAAAGTAGGGGCCTGGTTGGACTCAAAAGCAGTCCCTAAGTGCAGCTTATGAACCTCATGGGGGGCCTGAATAATGTCACTATCCCAGATAATGGTGGAAAATGAAGTGGGGAGACTTCTGCCAGTATCCACTAGAGTAAGTCACAACCACTACATCTGCCTGGACAGATGATCCACAACAGATCTCAACCAGAACCTCTCTGTCCTTTCCTTCCTGCTCCCACCTAGAAGCAGACAGGAGCTGCACATGTCCAGTTTCAGTGTGGGGCTCTGCACAGTCAAAGATCAACCTAAAGAGAACACAACTCCCTCTCCTCCACCTGCCTGTCTGTGCTTTCCAGCTCGGTGCATTGGACGCACTGCCTCAGAGATGGAATCTGCTGCTATTTCCACAAGTAATAAGCATTACAGCACATCAAACCACATTCATATCACACATATTCCAAACAGGTTTAGAACTTTCCTCTGTGACACTTTTGTGGTTTCCATTGACACAGGAATATGCTTTCTAATTAATTTAATCTAATTTAATTAATTAATTAAAAGTAAAACTAATGAAAAGTATCTTTACAGGACCTGTTTTCACTGACACACACACAGTGAGTTGGATGAATACTTCTTTGACAGATATCTCAAAAAATATGCACTGCTGAAATAAGCATAAATTTTTTCTTAATTTCTTTGGCAATAATTTTGACTGTCTAAATAAATACTAGTATTTTCAATAGCTTATTTTTTTCTTGTATTAACATTAAAAAACTAACATTATTTTTAATAAATGAAGAGTTTCAGTTTTTTTTCCTAAGAAATCTAATGAAAAAAGGTTCAGCATTAATTAGTGCTATAGTAGAAACATGGGGTCTTCAAGTTCAAGTTTGATGTTTTTTATAATATAGCAGATACTAGAAAAAGAGGAGCTTTTAAATATGCTGTTATGAAATATAATGATATCAACTTATATGAGCATAGTTTTAAAATATTTATTATAGCTCTCAGAAGCATCTTGCCAAAGAGAACATAATTTATCCTGATTTCTCCACGTTTCAGAAATCTGATTCTGCCAGCTGTAACATCTATGATCCATTCATAATTACTAAAACTGAATGAATCTTTTCATATTCTCTTCAGAGGTATATAATAAAGTAACATTTTTTATTATAACTAACAACAGATACAAAAACCTAAAACCCTCAGAAGATTGTAATTCACAGGTCTAAAATACTGAAGAGTTTATAGATATTTGCCAGTGCAAGAAAGTATCTCCCATATGTATTAAAACTTTTACAGTAAGTATCTTCTCTAAGTTCATGGGGAGAAATCAATTGTGGAAAGAGAGAGAACCTTATTTTTCATGGGATCTTAAAAAGACACTGCTAAATCTAATCTTTAGACTTAAGTTGATATCACCAAATATAAATGCCACACACAGCACAGAATTAAGAATTGTTATGGAAATATTCTTTCAGCAGATATAATGGCATATTCCTTGAAACTGGTGGTTTAGAGACTTCCTTAGCTGCAAACATGAAAGTTACTGTCAAGTAGTACAAGCTGCATGAAACACAATTATAAGCTTTATCTTAACAAACTGAAAATAACAAGACTTTGCTCCTCCTTTACTATTACTCCTTCCGCTCCCCTATTCAATTCAGCAACCTCACATGACTTTTCAAAGCAAAATCTTCCCAGAAGCTCAAAAATGCTGCATCTATTCCCATGCTGGGACTGTCTTGTAAAAAATATCAATTCCAAGACTGAAAAGACTACCAGCGTAAATGATTCACTTACCTGTTTTTCAGCTTGCCCATATTCTGACCCTTGGGGTGACAAGAAGTGACAAATATGACCATTATTCTTTGCTTTTTCTCGAAGAGCCATAGCAGTTCGTACTGTTGCATTTCTAGCATGAACAAACACCATCACCTTTAGGCAGAAAGAAACAGGGCCAATGAGAAATAATAAAAAGGTTTAATCAAATAATGAAAACTTTAATTACAAAATATTGCCTATGGGAATGACCAAAACTAGGTAATACATGACATACTGATGAAAACTAATGCTGTTCAAAGGCAATTAAAGGATGATCCTGCCTACATTGTTATTCAATATTTTCAAAGAGCTTTTGAGGAGATTGTATCTTTTAAAAATTCTTAAGTCCTTAAAAATAGAGAACAATTGTTGGCCATAAATAGTTCATGTTCACACAGTACTAAGATTAACATTGATGTAAAGAGTTGTGTTATTTGACACATCCTAAATGATCTGGAAACAAATACTGGGCTGATAAACATTCTGATGCTACAACTTGGCTATGTGAGTAAAGAACGACCAATCAAACAGAAGAGAACTGCTCTGCAATGCTCACAGTTAAAAGCCCGCAAGAATATGTCCACTGTTAACAGCAGGACCACTAATGCAATAGTCAAAAGCCATGAAAACCAACTGTTTGAGAGAAATATTTTTACTTTTTTTTTCTTGCTGTTGAGAGTGTCAAGAGATCTCAAAAAAGAGTTGGAGTCTTTTACCTAAAAACAACTAAAATATTCTTTCTTTCTTTCTGATTACTGCCTGCTATAATGCATGTCTAGAAACAACCCTGTGGGCTTTAGAAACTTTGATGGTTGGAGGCACTCAGTATAGATGCTTCAAGAACTGGAATGGGACAGATGGATTGGGACCACATTGAGTTCCCTTTCTCTTCTGCCAATTATACTCAATAAGTTTCAATAAATTCATCAAGTATAAACAAAAAAAACCTGCACATGTTTCTGCTTTTAGTTAGCAGAGGCTTGGAATAAAACTTCAGTTATGATTTCTAAAGCTTCTGCCTACATGTATGGCAATCTCTGACACCACAGCAATCATTCATTCAGTAAGACCTTAGTATGCAGACAAGAACTAAGAAACAAGCATTGTGCAACTGTCCTCTACCCAGAAGCCTTTCTACAGTTCTTATAGACAATTTTCAGATGTGCAGCACTTTTCTTTGATATTTATCTGCCATTGATTTAATAGTGTACAGCTGGATTCATTGGCTTTTATGTGTTAAATGATGACGTCTCAACACCTGAAAAAATTTACAGTGATTGCAAAATTGTTGACTAAAAAACCAGAACTTTTCAGACAGACAACAATCTCAGTACATCTTGTTACATCTTGTAATCTCTGTACATCACAACATGTTTTTAAAGAACCAGCACTAGCTAAAAATTGACATATAACATTTTGTTGGATGTTTTTTTCCCAAATGAAGTCAGTAAACATTCAAATATACTGTAAGACAGCAATATACTCTTAGGAGGGTTAATTTATCCTGTCCTAACTGTGTCAGAGAATATTATATTTCAGTGGCAAAATCTCTGTGCATTACATTATGCAAATAAGTTAGGAAAAGTAATTTAGAATAGAGAGAAGTGGTTCCACAGTTACAAGCTGTGTAATTAGATCTGTACTTTGCAGTTCAAAGCCAGCTCTGGTGTATATAGCCCTAGTGCTGAAAGTGTCTGCTGCTGCTCTCCTGAAACCAAAGCTTTTAAATAATAAAAAATATACAAGAAAGGAGAAAGCAAATGTCCCTAGCTAGGTTACCTCCTCAGAATTTTTGCAAAGTATAAAACAAATCAAACCTTTTACTGAAGACTTTGTTTAAAATTCACAGCAGGAATTGCTTGCGTTCCCCAAAGAGTTGCATATCCCAGGTTTTAATCTTTATGAAAGATGCTAGTGCATCACCAAAGTGCAGAGAAGTGTGCCATTATTACTGAAAATGTATAATCAGGTACTTGAAATACCTTAAAATACATTTCTTTTGCCTTGGACAGCAAAGATGCTTGGATTAACTTTTCCTACTGGAAAATACATATCTCAAACTGACATTCTCTATGATAGCCTTAAAATGTTGCATCATTTTTCTGGGGAAACATGCTGACTCTTTCAGTTATCTTTCCATCTTCCTATTAAAAGCGCTGGTCACTTGAATGCTTGAGTTCAGCAATTCTCTTACTGAACACCTCTCCTCGATGAGAGAAGGCCTAGGTTTTGCCGGCCACTTTCCATCATACCTTTCAAAGAAACTAAGACTAAAGAATGAATTTATTTAATTCAATGTTGATATTAATTATGTGGTAAAGAAACAAGCATCTATATTTTAGCCTCAAGACTGTTTGGCTTCACACAGCTAAATCCTTATAGCACGTTTTTTTATGTGGTTCTTGATCTGGGTATTACTTCTACTGAAAATGAACAGTTAGGGATATTGATCAACAGATTAATCTGTCCAAACATCTTCTGCCTTGAGGTCAGCATGAAACCTTCCCCAAGTATTTTACAAAACTCAATTCCTAAAAAACTTTCAATGCTTTTCCCCAAGGACTGCTAATGACACCTATTTATGTTAAAAACATTTCCCTCCACATCATTAAATGGAACCACCTTACAGACTAAGTAAAACTCTAACATGTAGCCTAATTCTAAAGATTAATAGAACTCTTTTCTCTCATGCTGGGATTTCTCCCTAACTGCCAAGATACAGTTCAAAATTGCAATGCCCAACATTTACAGAACGAAAGTATATTACATCCAAAATATACATGAAAACAACACACAGAGCTCACTAATGGCTCTTGATCAACAATGATGCTAAATCAGGATATTTTAGATTAGCAGATCTAACTGATAGCATAGCAGTGTATAAATGTGATTTCCCATTCCTCTCCCCAGTTCATCCAGTAACTCATGAAGAACTATCCAGAAATTATAACTAAAAAACCAGCAATAAATAAGAAATTTCATAAGTTGACCTATACTAAAGCTTAAAAAGTTCAACTTCGAAATCTTATTTTTGCTTTAGCAGATTTTTGTATTTTGTATATTAAAGTCTTTCTGCACATTAAACAACACCATGGGAATGGAAAGAGCTGAACAGGCTGTCACTTACTAAGGCAACAAGAGAATTTGAATTTATTCTCTAATTATTTTAATTAATGTTAGTACATCTTGTATTTAAAAGAAATATTGATATAATTTGCATGTGTACTATGATCTTTTACTACAGAAAACTGAAGGATTACTAAGCTGCCTACAAACTAGTGCTAATGAGACGTTTTTTATATCCTTCCTTGTCTACAAAAAAAAAATCACAATTTAAAGGCAGACTGCATTTACTCATCACATGACATTAAATAATGTGGATTGGAATACATGAATTTTCATTCAAGGTTGAGAAGTTAAATAAAATTAAAGAGAAATATTCAGTAAACTGTGCTGTAAAACAAAGCTGCACAATACCATACAATATTTTAACAGAAAATATTAATTAATAACAAAGAAATATATAATGTTTCATCAGCTAATCAAAACAGCAAGGTGATACACTTTGAAGTCTTGATAGGTTGCCATTAATCGCTCTCTAAATTTTGATTTATTCACTCAAATAAATTACTTCTGATCATCCCTGTTAAAACAAAACCTAGGATTTTTCAAAACACTCTATATAATCTCATAAAAATCTATTTATCATCACTATTTATGTATCTACCTTTCTATTTTGAAATACTAGGTTTTAAGGGGTAATTACTCCACTGTAGAGATATTTTAACTATTGCATTGTGCACTTATTTATTTATCTGCAATAATAGTACTGTTTAGACATGTGCCCTATAATTTCAATTTCTGTATTTTTTTTAAATGTGGAATTTTTTTTAATGTATATTTACTCAAAAAGTGACTACCCTAGTGAATGCTTTATTGCACAGTCCCATCTAATCTTTTCATTATTTATGAATCACAGAATTTTTTGAGTTGGAAAAGAACTACAAGGATTATCAAAGTCCTTCTCCTGGCTTGGCACAGGACAACCCCAAGAATCCCATGTGCCCAAGAGCATTGTCCAAATTCTTTTTGAATTCTGTCAGACTGGTGCTGTGACCCCTTCCCTGGGGAGCCTGTTCCAGCACCCAAACACCCTCTGGGTGAAAAATATTTTCCTAATGTCCAACCAAAACCTCCCCCAGCACATCTTCATGCCACTCATGAAACTATGTAAAGGGTTCTGGTAGGAACATTATATTGGAAGTTCTTTATTTTCTTCCTATTGGCCCTTCTTTCATTTTGCCTTGTGTGTTTTACATCTATCCATAAAAAAATGCTCTATTACACAAATTTTGAAATACTATCACATTTCTTATTCTTAATTTTTATTTCTCTTACAGTAAGGGTATGACTAAGGATAAGGTTTGTTATGATTTTTCCCATTTGCCCCAGGGACTCTGCGATTCCTAGGCAAATCTTGCCATCAAGACCAAGGCAAAGTGACATTGAATAGCTCAGTGTTACAGATGTTTTATGTCACAAGGTTTGCTGCCCCATTCAATAAAGAGCCATCATTTTCCTCAGCTGCCTTCCTGCTGCTGCTGCTGTACTTGTGGAATCCCCTCTTGCTGCCCTTCACACACCCTGACAGATTCACTTTCAAACAGAGTTTGGCTTTCCTAATCCTATCTCTGCATGCTTGGACAGTGGTTTTATATTACTCCTGGGTCTTCTGTCCCTGCTTCACCCTCCTGTCTGCTTCCTTATCATGTTTGTCAGGAGTTTCTTTCTCATCCACACTTGCCTTGGGCCATTTGCCTGATTTTCTGCACATCAGGATGGACTGTTCTTGAGCTTGGAAGATTTGATACCTGAAAATCCCATAGCTATTCCAGACCACCTGTCACAGGATTCTTTCAAGATTTCTGAAAAGGACAAAGTGTTCTCATGCAGCCCAGGACAGTGCAGCTTTTTGCCTTGTTCCCTCCATTTAAATCTTGAACTCCACCATCTCTTGGTCACTGCAGCCAAAACATTCCCAGCATTCAGATCCCCAACCTGTCTTTCCCTTTTTGTAAATACAAGGTACAGCACAGCATCAACCTTCACCAGCT